TCCAGTTATCAATAATCGAGAAGGAGATATAAAGATGTTCTTAACTTGCAAGCCACAAACTTTCTCGGGAGACAGAGATCCAGTTAAAGCCATGTGTTGGATCAAAGAGATAGAGTCTCTATTCAACACTATTCGATGTGCAGAAATAGATAAAGTCAGATTCGCAGTTTCTGTCTTGAAGTCAAATGCTTTGTTTTGGTGGGAGGTAGAATCATTGGCTAAAACAGATATTCTACAAACTATGACATGGGCAGAGTTTGTGAGTAGATTCAAAGAATAATTCTATCCCAAAACAACAGTCAGACAGATGGAAGAAGACTTTTTAAAATTGGAACAGAGCTCTGGGTCAGTCAGAGAATACACGGAGAAATTCATAGAATATTCAAGGTTTGCTGAACATTACATGTCAACAGAGGCTAGAAAAGTAGAATGGTACATTTGGGGTCTAAAACCATCCATCAGAGAATTTGTTATAGCAATGAACCCTGCTACCTTTCCAATGGCAGTAGATGCAGCAGAGATCACCTAGAGGAATAAGAATAGAAGTGAAGAAGGAAAGCAGATGGAGAAAATAAAATGGGAAGGACCTTCGGCCAGTTATCGAGGATCAAAACCTACCAAGTTTAATAATAGAGCAATACAGAGACCGATAGAAAGAGCCTGTCCCTGGTGTCGACAGTATCACCGAAAGGAATGCCGAGCAGAACCCATAAAGTGTTTTAATTGTGGTGAAATTGGGCATACTTCAAATTTCTGTCGACAAAACAAAAAATGTTTCCATTGTAATTCCCCAGATCATTTAAAAAACAATTGCCCACAATTGAAAGCTCCACAGCTCACTATGGGAAGCAATACTCCGACCGGCCGTGGGAGACCATGTTTGGGTAGAGGATCGGGTGGAGCGTAGGGTCGATCTTTTCAAATGATCAAACACGAAGCAGAAACTACATCCGATGTAGTAACAGGTACATTTTTCGTGAACTCCTTATATGCTAAAGTGTTATTTGACTCGGGTGCAAATTTTTCGTTTGTATCCCCATCATTTGGCTTATATGCTCGTATGAATTATGTGCCCCTTGACGCAAAGTTAGTAGTTGATACTGCTAACGATCAAGTATCTATGGATTATGTGTTTAAAAACTACATCATTGTGGTTGAGGGATGTAAGCTACCCATCAGACTATTTCCCATGCCTATGAAAGATTTTGATATAGTGGTTGGAATGGACTGGTTGGCCGAAAACCAAGCCATCATTGTTTGCGATAAGAAGATAATTAGAATAGTATTGCCAGACAGAGGAACAATTGTTATTTTTGGTGATCATCAGAGTTATTGCACCAGTTTGTTATCAATAATGAAAACTAGAAGATGCATGCAGAGGGGGTGTCAAGGATTTTTGGTCTATGTAATCAATGACAAAAAGGAAAAAGAAGAACAGAGATTGATTCCAGTGGTCAGTGATTTTCTAGAAGTATTCCCGGAAGATTTGTCTAGACTTCCACCAGATAGAGATATAGAATTCAGAATTGACCTCTTACCAGGGGCAATGCCTATAGCCAAAGCACCATACAGATTAGCCCCCCCAGAGTTAAAAGAGTTGGTCATGCAATTAGAAGATTTACTTGATAAAGGCTTTATTAGACCGAGTACATCACCTTGGGGAGCTCTAGTTCTATTTGTCAAGAAGAAAGATGGGTCTCTGCGAATGTATATAGATTACCGAGAACTCAACAAATTAACGGTAAAAAATAAATATCCATTACCCAGAATAGACGATTTGTTTGATCAATTAGTTCTCCATTATTGATCTACGGTCTGGATATCACCAACTCAAGGTAAGAAATGAAGGCATTCCTAAGACTGCTTTCAGGACAAGGTACGGACATCATGAATTTTTGGTTATGCCTTTTGGATTAACCAATGCACCCGCAGCCTTCATGGACTTAATGAACATAGTATGCCAAGAATATCTTGATAAGTTTTTGATTGTGTTTATTGACGATATTCTGATTTACTCAAAGACAGAAGAAGAACATGCATAACACCTCCGTCTAGTTTTAAGTCTCTTAAAGAAAGAAAGGTTGTATGCTAAGCTGTCAAAATGTGAGTTCTGGTTACGAGAAGTTCAGTTTTTGGGGCACGTAATATCAGAAAAAGGGATACAAGTAGATCCAGCAAAAATTGAAGCGATTGCAAAATGGGAAGCACCAAAATCCCCATCTGAAATCTGAAGCTTTTTGGGATTGGCAGGATATTACCGTAAGTTCATACACAACTTTTCAAAGATAGTTGTGTCATTAACCAAGTTAACCCGAAAGAATGTCAAGTTTCAATGGGAGACAGAGCAACAAAAAGCATTTAAGTTATTAAAGGATCATCTATGCAGCGCTTTAATTTTATCTCTGCCCGATGAAACAGAAGACTTTATAATGTACAGCGATGCATCAAAGTTGGGATTGGGTTGTGTATTGATGCAGAGGGGAAAAGTCATATCTTATGCATCTCGCCAACTAAAGGATCATGAAAAACAATATCCTACCCATGACATGGAACTAGCAGCCGTGGTCTTCGCACTAAAGATATGGAGGCACTATCTTTTAGGAACTAAATGCCAAATCTTTACAGATCATAAAAGCTTACA